AGCACAAAGCTTCTTGTTTGGGGCAAATGAAAAAGTTCAAGAAACAATAGAGATGGTTGCACAAAATTATGTTACATATACTTAAAAGTAGTCAAAATGGTAAATTTTACATTACATATATTTGATCACAGTAAAAATTTTTAAGATAAGTGAGAAAAGTATCATATTTAAACAATTTTTTCACTTCTGTTAAGATCTGTGCCCAGGTAAGACCCATCTCACCCGGAAACAACGGTATACTATAGGTCTTGCCAAAAACCACTGAAGCAGCCCTGCTGCCTGTGCTCACAGCCTATATCCTCTATGAAGGGAATTAAAAACAAACAGGGAGACAGACTTTCTCCAGCATCCATGCCTCCATGACCATGAAGGATTTATAAAGCACACTGCTTTCATGCAATACCATCTATCCTGTAGAAAATCTGGTAACAGACAGAATGATCCAAATAAACTGGTAAAAGAAGAGAGAACATAGCATCCCCCCCACCTCCGAGGTAGGCTGCTTAAAATACAGTGCAATTAATATTTCATACGAAGCTTCACTACTATTCTGAAAAATAAATTCATGATTGCCCCTTTCTTCCCTGGGTCTAGTTCCTTTTTGTTTTTTAGGTACCAGGATTGAACTCCGGACCTTGTTCTTGTGAGGCAGGCGGCAGCACACTGTGCTAAATCCCTGGCCCTCTAGTTTCTATTTTTAAACGGTCAACTTCATTTGACTAAAAACCTCAGAGCAGCAAGAATGTCATGTCACAAGAAAAGAAACTACAGGATAGTATCTCTGATGAATACACATGTAAAAAATGTTTAATAAAATATTAGAATGATCCTGTAATCCTAGCTCTTGGGAGGCTGAGGCAGGGGGACTGCTCTGAGTTCAAGGTCATCCTGGGCTACACAGTGAGTTCAAGGACAACCTGAACTGCATAGTGAGACCCGTCTCAAAAAATTAAAAATAAATAAATAAATAAAATGCAAACTAGCAGAATGAGCCATGTGTGGGAGCACACACTTATAATCTCAGCACTCAGAAGGCAGAAGCAGGAGATCACTGTGAGTTTGAGGCCACCCTAGGCTACACAGTAAGTTCAAGGCATAACATGAAGTACATAGTGAGATCCTGTCTCAAAAAACAAAACAAAAGTACTATAAACCACAACTAAATGAGATTTAAGAAATTGAAGGTAAAAACTACATGATGATATTCAATGGTACAGAAAAAGTACTTAAAACTCAACACCATTCATGATAAATGTTCTTAAAAAATTAAGAACAAAATGGCACTTTATACAACCTGATAAAGGACATCTATGAAAAACGTACAGCTAACACAATTAGTAATAAAATACTAAATGATGTATTTAGTATTCTAAGAATGAATAAAAAAACTTATAAGAGGACTTTCATTGGTATTGCAGCTACTTAAATAAACGACTTTTCACAGTAAAAAAAAAGAATGAATAAGACAAGGATATATGCTTTCACAAACACTTAATCAATAAGCAGAGGTTCTAACCAACATAGGTAAGTAGGTAGATATTGGATGAATTACAGTAGGATGAATGAGAGTAAAAAAATACCATAAATACCACATAAATACCATTCAGAGAAGAAGAAATTAATTTATCTGATCCTGTAGTATAAAAATGAATTACAAATAACAACAAAAAACTAGTAGCACAAGACCTATATTCTATCAATATACATAAAACTTATTTCTATCAATACACACAATATATATAATTATATTTCCATATACTAGATATTAAAAATACAAAATGAAATTAAGAAAACAATTCAACTTATAATAGCACTGAAAAGATATATTACAAAGGGATAAATTTAACAAAAGAAGCATCAGGCTTGTACACTGTGAACCACAAGACACTGCTGAGAAAAAAATAAAGATCTCAATAAATGAAGAGACATATTCATAGACTAGCCTTACTTACTATTTATTTATTTAGCTAGCTAGCAGGGCATTTGCAATGAATTATATCTCCAATCCTTTGTTAAAATTTTGAGATAGTTTCTGACTAAGTTTCCCAGGTTGGGCTTGAACATATGATCCTCCTCCTTAGCCTCCCAGATTATGTGCCACCACTGCTACCTTCAATATTTTTAAGGTGGCATTCTTACCCGAAGAGGTTTCATTTTCAAGACAATCCTTACTGAAATTCCAGCTGGCTTTTTTTACAGAGACTAACAAACTGATCCTAAAATTTAAATGGAAACACAAAAAAGCCAGTGTGGCCAAAACAATCTGAAAAACAACACAGAAGATTTATACTTCATGATCTCTGAACTTAACTATAAAACTACTATAATCAAGACGGTATGGGAAGCCCGGCGTGGTGGAGCATGCCTGTAACCCCAGCACTTGGGAGGCTGAGGCAGGAGGATCGCTGTGAGTTCGAGACCAGCCTGGGCTACATAGTGAGTTCCAGGACAGTCTCAACTACATAGTGAGACCCTGTCTCAAAAAACAACAACAAAAATACAAACAAACAAAAGACAGTATAGGGCCGGGGATTTAGCTCAACAGTTATACTGCCTGCCTTCCAAAAGTTCAAGGTCGCAAGTTCAATCACTGGTACCAAAAAAATAAAAAAATAAAAGTATGGTGCTGGTATAAAGACAGACATACAGATCAGTGTAACAGAAACAGGAGTTCAGAAATATGCCTTTAGGGCCGGGGATTTAACTCAGAGGCACTATGCCTGCCACATAAGCACAAGGTCCTGAGTTCGATCCCCAGTACCGAAACAAACAAACAAACAAACAAACGAAATATGTCTTTATATTAATGGTTGGTTTTTTACAAAGGTACCAATACAATGGAATGGAACAAGGGTATTCTTTCAAAACAGGACAGTCTTTTCAACAGATGGTATGAGAACAACTGTGTACCTATATGCAAAAAGATGATATTAGACTCTTACCTCATATCGTACACAAAAATTAACATAAGGTTAGACCTACATGTAAATACTAATACAATAACATTTTTTTGTTTTGTTTTAACAACAACATTTTTAGATGAAAACACAGGAGATCATTTCTGTGACCTTGGTCAAGCATAAGTTCTAAGATAACGATGGAAGGCCATACCATTAAAAAAATATATTGATAAAGATAGGCTTTCTTATCTCAAAAGACACCATTAAGAAAATGAAAAGAGAGTTCGATCCCTGGTACCAAAAAAACAAAAAAAAGAAAACGAAAAGAGAAACTACATCCTTTAAGAAAATACTTGCAAATGGGGCATGGGATTTAGCTCAGCGGTTCGGTGGCCTGCCTTGCAAGCACAAGGACCCAAGTTGAATCCCCGGTACCAAAAAAAAAAAAGAAAAAAGAAAATACTTGCAAATCATGTATCTTTATCTTTTGTTCCCCTGGTACTGGGAATCAAACTCAGGACCTTGTGCTCTTGCGAGTTAGGCATGGTGCCACTGAGCTAAATCACCGGCCCTGCAAATCATATATCTGAAAACAGACTTCTTTCCAGAACACATAATGGCCTCTTACAACTCAATAATATAAAGACCCACAAGCTATTTTAAACATGGGCAAAAGATTTAAATAGATATCTCACCAAAGATGATATATATGAATGATAATAAGTACATGCAGATATGCTCAGTATCACCAGTCATTAGGGAAAACTAAATTAAAATCACCGTTTGTTGCCTCGCAAGCGCAAGGTCCTGAGTTCAATCTCCAATACAAAAAAAAAAAAAAAAAATCACCATTTGAAACACACAAGAATGGCCATAATGAAAAGGCTTACAGAGGATGTTCTGCCTGATATCACAAAGCTGTAACTGCCAATGTAAAGCCTTTTGTTCTTTCCTCTGGGTTTACATTGAAATCTTATTAAAGAGAAGTATTTGTATATAGTACAATTTAAGATGTTATCTCTGATTCTAACACCCTCATCTAGGTGTGTATGCATACCAGTAAAGATATCTTATAAGGTGTTATTATTGTATTAAATATACCTCAGTATACCAAGAACAATTTTTTAAAGCAGTATGCAAGATGGGTGCAACAGCACAGGCCTGTAATCCCAGCATTTTGGGAAGCTGAGTGAGAAAGATCACAAGTTAAAGTCTCCACCTGGCCGATTCAGTGAGACCCTGTCTCAAAATAAAAATAAAAATAAAAGGGTCTGGGGACATAGCTCAGGGGTAGAGCAGCTGTAAGTTTGATCCCCCCATACCACAAAAAGAAATACATCATAAAGTATTTAAAAATAAGTCAGGCATGATGGCACATACGTATAATCCTGGCACTTGGGAAGCGCAGGTAGGAGGATCACTGTGAGTTAAGGGCCAGCCTGAACTACATAGTGAGACACGGTCTCAAAAAAAACAAAAAAAATCTCACGTTCCAACTACCTCTGAAAATTCCAGTGGGGAATGAGAAGCATTATGAAATTCTCACCTAGGTTAACCAAACTTCAACCTCAGAATTTATTTACTCATTTAATAACTTCTATTAAAGTCCTACCATGAGCAGGATACCACTCATCTTTTTCTCAAGGAAAGCACAACCTTTCGACCATTCCCTTAATCAGTATCTGTGTCACAGGGATATATATAATACTTGTTTTGAGAGCTACCCAAGAATTTTATGACAACTCTGGGATAATTCTAGTTTTCTATAAAGTTTTATTTAAAGCAGCATTGGAAATCCCTGTTTCATCTGACTTGTACATATGAGTGCATAAAAGCTCAAATATTTGAAGTTTCATTTTGTTGTAATATATTTGATGTTCATAATACTGGAGGTATATCTTTTGGTGAGAAGACATGATTATCATATAAGAATCTACATATTTGGTGGGAAGTTATTCTCTTCTCCAATGGCTTTTAAGTTTCCTCACAGAAAGTTGCCAATGACATAAAAAGTAACCAAGGGATGAAAATAAAGTAGAAGAAATAAACCTGTTCAGCCACGTTACACATGGAAAACAGGACCCTAATTTTATACTTTACCTGCAGGTTTAAGGTCTCCTATTCGAATAATGTGTGGCCAGTGTTGAAGTGTTTTAGCAAAAAAAGGGTTGGTTACTCCTAATATGACTGAGGGCCTATATAAAAACAAAACAAAAATTTTAAAGGTGAGAAAAGATGAATGTTAAATTAGTGAAGAATAGTTTCAATTTCTTTTGAGTAATACATAGATTATCTTTTCCTTTACTCAATGTATTACATATCAACTACCTGTCAGGCAACATATTTATGCTTATAAAGATGAAAAGACAGAATCTTTGCAATAGCATATAGGAAGAAAGGTCTACATATCCAATTATGATGCCAAAGGTTAAAAGACACTGAAGATGGAATAAAATGCACAATAATCACAAAGGAAAATCTATGGTCTGCTGGGGGATTAAAGGACAGCTTTGTCGAAAAGTTGACAATTACATGAAGACATGAGAGTAGACCAAGAGTTTTCTGCTAAGGTAAGGACAAGGCAGTACAAACAATATGTGATACACAATGAGGTGATATCATACTCCTCACACACAACTACACACAGTTCAGCATTCTTGGAGTAAAAACTGGGAAGGGTGAGTAGCCAGAAATGAGAGCAGGTGCACGCAGAAGCAAGTTAATATGCTAAGAAATGTAGATGTTATCTTACAGGCAAAGAGAAGCCAGTAAAAAATCAAGTGGAGGCAAGCATGAAATAAGAATGATCATTTGGGGAAAATCTGGAAGATGCCCTACAAGAGGGCATCTGAGAAAGACCAGAGACAAAAGCAGGAAGGGAGCTATCAAAATCTTATGAGAAATATTTTAGGATTTAAATTTATAAATTTGGTTAGACTTTTTTCTGTTAGAATTTGATGTAAGGCATGTTAAGAAGGAGACATTTGTGACAACTTAAGTTTCTGACAACTAAGTAAAATTGGTACCATCTTTTTTAAAAGCATGCAATTAGAAGGAAAAAAGAGGGAGACGAAAAGAACTGTTTGAACATATTTAGTTTCACGTGATATTAAGAAGTAGAGGCAAAGTGTTTAAACAACAGCAACAAAAAACCCTGCATGTATAGGTATGGCCCTTGCAGAATGTGGGCTAGGAAGATATATTTTAGTCATTCGTATAAGGTCTTAACAAAGGAAATGGGTACTAGAAATACTGTAAAGAAAGAACTACCATCTGAAATGAGAAACCAGAATATTGGAGAACATGGAGAGATAGCAAGAGAAGGGGAGTGAAATATATCACCAGTGAGCCAAGACAGAGATCAAGAATCAAGAATTAAAATATTTTCAAGAGCACAGAGTAACTGTTATAAGAAAGAGAAGGTGGGATGGGTGTGGTGGTGCATGCCTGTAATCCCAGCACTTGGGAGGTGAAGGCAGGAGGACTGCTGTGAGTTCGAGGTTAGCCTAGGCTACATAGTAAGTTCAAGGCCAGCCTGAACTGCATAGTGAGACCTGTCCCAATAAAGAAAGAGAAGGTGGGAAAAATTAGGCAATAATCCACCCAGTGGTTCAGGTAGTCAGATGAAAAAAAAAATCAGTGGATAAAGAGAAGTTAACCTACAGTTAACTTTTGAGAAGCAACCATAAAATCACCTAGAGACAATAAATGGAGATTTCTGTTGTTGTCTAGAAAATTAGTTATGAAAAGAAGCAATAATCAGGAGCTAAAAGGGAAAAGGAAAGACTATTTTTTCACTCTGCAGTCTGGAAAGATTTTTTATAATGACAAGGGAATCAAAAGTAGTCTGATGACTATTAATGACAACACAAATTCCATTAACAAACTCAGTGACAGAGAATATGTTACTAACTCTTGAAATCTTAAGCTACTGTCAGTAATTCAAACCTACTTTCATAAAATCTGCCAATAAGTTAAACATTTAAATTAAAAATTTATTATCAAAAATAAGTCTAGATAATTTGGGTCGTAAAGCTAATACCTGGTCAATAAAAGTTATTCTGTTTACTCACGGAGCTTGAGTACGGGTAGTGTATTCTTTGAATTCACTGTCATGAATAGTGAAATAAGGTCGGAAATCACTGAAGTACTTTAATGGAGAAATGCAGCTGTGAAGCAGAAAGAATATGTAAGACAAAGGGCAAAGAAATTAAAGGCTCTACTCTTTGTGGACCATCTATACAAACAGTAGATAAGCAAAGGGAGAATGCATTTACTTCAAAAAACGAAAGACTCATTTCAGGGAAAAAGACAAATGGAAATATGCAATGTGAATGGCATACAGAAGAACACTGATGGAAGGGCAGAAGATGGGGTGAAATTCTGGCTCTACAATTCACTAGCTGACCACTCACACTACTAATATGTATAAGAGATAAGTTCACAGAAGTCAAAGTATGCTTGTCATTCAGAACAACAGACACATGGATCCAGCCCTCAGGGAGCCTGACATTTTATTATCCATAAAATGGTGCTATAACAAGCAGTACCTTCTGAAAGGGTTGTTATATGGATTGATAAAATAATGTGTGGGGAAATATATCAGAGGTGTGAAAATGCCGTCAACCTCTCACCACCAGGAGTCAACCATACTCACTTAATAAGCGCCAGTACAGTCTCCGACGACTCTGAGGGTGATGGCGCCATCACCACGAGGGGCTCTCCCAAGAGCACCAGCTCCCAAAGCATCTGACTATGCAGAAAAACTGGGCAAAAACACCTGAGAAGTGTTTACACAGAAATATTTTGTTATTTATCCAATCCTGACTTTTAAATTCCTACATAATCATTCCAAAAAATTCACATTGATACTTTCTGCTTTTTGTATTTGTCTAGTATACAAATTATGAATAGACAAACTTAAATTCCTTTTATATACATTTAAAAAATGTAAATTTGACTCATTCCAATTTTTTTTGGAACTGGGGATCAAACTCGGGCCCTTGTACTTAGGAGTTAGAACCATTGAGCCAAATCCCTGGCCCTCATTCCAATTTTTATAAAATTATTTTTGTTTTATTTTGCGTATTTTTGGTTCTTTGTGGGGGGGTTATTTTGTTTTTGAAACAGGTGTCACTGTGTAGCTTAGGTTGCCCTTGAACTCACTGCGTCATCGCAGCTAGCTTCAAATGTGTAGCAGTCCCCCTGCCTCGGCATTCTTTTTTTTTTTTTTTCTTTTCTTTTTTGGTACCAGGAATTGAACTCAGGACCTTGTACTTGTGAGGCAGGCAGCAAAGCCACTGAGATAAATCCCCAGCCTCTACCTCAGCATTCTTCTTCTTTTTTTTTGTACCAGGGATCGAATTTGGTTTCTTGTATTTGCAGGGCAGGCGGTGGAACCACTGAGCTGAATCTCCAGCCCCTACCTCAGCATTCTTAATGCTGGGATTACAGGCATGGTGGTGCCACCACACCTCGCCCAATTATAAAAAATTAAATGCAACACCTTGATACACAGAATAGCTGATGAACAATATAGGTGTATAATAATTTTTTTAGGGGTTTTTTTGAGACAAGATCTGGCTATATAGTCCAGGCTGGCCTTAAACTCACAGCATACTGGCATGCAACAGCACACCTAGCTCAAGGTATATAATTCTTCCACTGTTTTACCGTACAATAAATTGATTTTAATAATACTGCTTTGTTATGTTTAAATTTCCACTCTAATTTTTTTTTTTTTTTTTTTTTTTTCCT